TTAGCAAGGAGTCTGCTTAAGATTGTCTCTTTCTCTCGCCCTCTCCCTGCACCCCCCACCCTGGTCACATGCATGCTCTCTATCTCATTTTAAAATAAATAAATCTTAAAAAAAATAATAAAATGCATTATATATAGTTGGAAAACAAATACTTGCCTGTCTTCTCCAGCTCTGAACTCTCGATATTCAGAACAATGTAGAATCTCCAACTCCAATCGAATTTTGAATCACAGAATTATAAAACTGGTAGTTATCTGGTATAGCACCTCATTCTTAAATCATTAACTGATTTAAGCCATATTCCAAAACCAGTCAATAGCAGAATAAGGCCTAGAACCTAGATAATGTGATTTCTTTTCAGAGCTCTTTCTGCCTCCATTACTACTGATTTTATCAATTTGTATAACCTGGCTGGAAACTGATCTGCTGGTTCAAATCAAAAAATGGAATGAAAGCTCTGTACTCTAAAGGCAATTTAAGGGGATTCCATGCAGACCCCAAAGTTCCTATTTCTAAGTAAAATTTTCTTAAATTTGCTCCAGTTACAACTTTTTCTAGGTTTCTTTTAATGCTCTGTCCAACAGAAATTTCTGCAATGATGTAAATATTTATACCTTCACTATCCAAAATGGTAGCCACTAGCCACATATGGCTAATAAGCACTTGAAATGTGGGTACTACAACTGAAGAGCTGAACTTTTATTTTAATTAAATTTAAATAGCCACATGTTTCGATATTAGCATACTGAATAATGCAGGTCTAGATAATCCCCATTAAAAAGGGAATTGGCTGATGAAATAATGAACACTGAGCAGTATTTTTTTTAAAGTACCTGCCATGTGAAGCAGTTGAGAAAGCATGTAAGGAACACATCATTCTGCATTTATAACCTCTGGATTCTGTATGAAACCACTATATAGCAATAAGAGGCTCATGAAATTACACAATCTAGGTTATATATACAACTCATCTGTGAAATGGAGCTAAAAGTTAGCTAAAATGGAGCTAAGAAATTACACAATCTAGGTTATATATACAACTCATCTGTGAAATGGAGCTAAAAGTTACCTTTGTGGGAACTCTGTGATTAAATGCTGTTTGTATGTAAAAGTACTCTGTGAAATGCAAAGCACCATATATAACTAAGTATCATTTCTATAACTAGTTCAAGAAAATGAAAATGTGGCTATAAACCAATCACTAAGCTATTTATCTAAACCTAGCCTCAAAAGTATGATTGAAACTAAAGCAATATTTAAGTGATTTTGCACATCTCTGCCTCATGACAAACATATATAAAGAAAAAGGTATTTAAATTATACCAAAAGTGATTTAACTGTATACCTACATTCTAAATTCCTAAAAGCTAAGTTTTTCACTTTATAACAGCCAACTGACATGAATTAAAGGGTACTAAACAATGTCAAAAATCTGGCATCCTTCCTTTCAATGAAGCAAAAGATACAATACTGGCAAGGCGACTACCAAGGCTTCCTCACTCCAAAAGAAAAACAGTGAAATAGCTCTTTTCTGTCTGGTCAGTTTATGACCAGGGTAAGAGTAAAGAATACCAGATGTGCAGGGAAAGTTCTCAATACCCAGAAGACAAAAGTATAGCCTACATCTAATTGATAGAAACATATAACAACAATACTATCTCAAATAATTACAGAATTTTAAACTTTTTACCTGGTTTCCTGAAGATTATATCTTGTGTGATTCTTATAATTTTATTAAGGAATAGTCTGATACTCTAACAAGCTGAAATTCATGATCAAAATTAAACCCAAGCATATTATTATATAGTATTCTTATTATTTATATTGAGGTTAATTTATGTTTATACATATTCCCTTGTTAAAGAAAAACAAATAAAAAAGGTTCTATCAGTGCAAAATTAGTATATTTCCAGATTTTATTTTTTTAAGGATTTTATTTATTTATTCATAGAGACATAGAGAAAGAGAGAGAGGCAGAGACACAGGCAGAGGGAGAAGCAGGCTCCCTTCAGGGAGCCCAACGTGGGACTTGATCCCGGGACTCCAGGATCACACCCCGGGCTCCTGCACCACTGGGGCTACCCTCCAGATTTTAATAATATTGATCCAAAGACAGAAAACAAATTATTGTTAAATCCAAGATATGTGGGCAGCCCGGGCGGCTCAGTGGTTTAGCGCTGCCTTTGGCCCAGGAGGTGATCCTGGAGACCCAAAATCGAGTCCCATGTCAGGCTCCCTGCATGGAGCCTGCTTCTCCCTCTGCCTATGTCTCTGCCTCTCTGTGTGTCTCTCATGAATAAATAAATAAAATCTTAAAAAGAAAAAAAAAAGAATTAAAAAAATAGTTTTAAAAAAATCCAAGATTTGAGATATCATACATATATATACTTTTATCTCCGACTGAAGAACCAAATATTAAAATCAATCCAAGGGTAAATAATGAAAATTCTCTGTTCATGGCTTACGAATGAGAGTTGGTTATCCAAAAGATGGTTTTTACATTTTTAAAATGAATTTACCAGCCATAAATGGCAAACTTTTTTATTATTAGCAATATTTAAATTTTGAAGCACTGGTTTTCTTATAAAAAGAATATCTTGAAGCACCTGGGTGGCTCAGTTGGTTAAGAGTCTAACTCTTGATTTTGGTTCAGGTTATGATCCCAGGGTCATGAGATCAAGCCCTGCATGGGGCTCTGTGCTCAGCAGGGAGTCAGCTTAAGACTCTCTCACCCACTCCCTCTGACCCCCTACCCCCTCTACCTCGGGTGTGTGCTCTCTTATTCTCAAATGAATAAATGTTTTTAAAGGGGCATATCTTTATAAATTTTTAATATTAAATTTCCATAAAAACTATATTTCCATATGCATACTTTTATCTCAAGGGGTAGTCTCCTTTTGTCATCTTATTTATAAATTTTCTCTTTTCTCACTTAGGATCAGCTTTCAATCCTCTTCTTTCCTAGTCTCTGAATTATCTATTCACAAACTGAAATTCACATGAAAAAACTGAAGATAAAGAGGTGTCCAACTTGTTTTAAATTATTATCATTTTAAATCTGTGAGACAAAGGATAAATATGCAAGATCAGGATTTGTAAATGACATAAATCTCCTGAGGAAAACAAATAAAAACAAATAAAAATCCTAACTAAAAATCTTATTTATATTAATGAGCACTTACTTAAATTGATACATTAAAGAAAATCAGATTTTACCCTAAATTGAGGTAAATGATTTGTTCAATCAAGGTATCATTTTAAATTTCACTTTCAAAATTAGTCCAGTTAATGAACTTATATCAAAAAGGATGACTTTTACTATATGTAAATTTAAAAATAAATTTAAAACAATTAACCCAGTTAAGAACAGTCTTTATTTAAAACTAGACTTCTTTAAAAATAAACAGCAGGGATCCCTTGGTGGCGCAGCGGTTTGGTGCTTGCCTTTGGCCCAGGGCGCGATCCTGGAGACCCAGGATCGAATCTCACGTCAGGCTCCCAGTGCATGGAGCCTGCTTCTCCCTCTGCCTATGTCTCTGCCTCTCTGTCTCTCTCTGTATGACTATCATAAATAAATTTTAAAAAAAATTAAAAAAAATAAAAATAAACAGCAGATGGTGTTATTTTGATAAGAAGTTTATTCCCAGTAGAATGCTTAATATATTTAGAATAACTTTCCACAATAAAAAGAAAACTTTATTACCATTTAATCAACCATAATTAGACTTTAAAATTAAGCTATTAAAATGAACAAGAATACAGGCAACTTATTTTTAAAATAATATTATATATAGTCACAAATCAGGATTGCTTTAAGGAAAATTCAAACACTAAAAATTTGAGGCTACAATTCAAGTCCAGTTATTCTGAGCATTTCAAATTGAAAACTAGGTTAGACATAAACACTTGAAAGCAGCATTCAGTACAAGATGTGATTTTAGTCTTTTTACTAGAAGACAGATCAGAAAATGAATATGTATCTTATATACATAGAAAATAAAGATTGAACTCGTATGTCTATGATGCCCAAGGAGGTCATAGGAATATTCATTTTCTACATCCAGACCTACCATTATGAATATAGGAATGAATTATTTATCACAAAGAATGGGGGCTGTATCTTTATTATCATTGCCATCAAATTTGAATATAAAACATTTAATATAAATTAAAAGTTAAAAGACTCAGGGACTGGGCAGCCTGGGTGGCTCAGCGGTTTAGCACTGTCTTTGGCCCAGGGCATGATCCTGAAGTTCTGGGATCGAGTCCCGCGTCAGGTTCCCTGCATGGAGCCTGCTTCTCCCTCTGCCTGTGTCTCTGCCTCTCTCTCTCTCTCTCTCTGTCTCTCTCATGAATAAATAAAATCTAAAAAAAAAAAAAAAAAAAGACTCAGGGACTAAGATCAAGTTGGGGAATCAAGATGTATGCTGCTCTTTAGAAGAATCGAGTCTTGTGCTCCATTATCCATTTCTAACTAGACAGAGATTATCCCTTAATTGAAGAATAGGTTATAGAACAGCAAAACGAATTAAGTATGATTTTTGAGAAAAAAAATTCACTCAAATGCAGTGATTCTAGATTAGATTTTAAGAATAATATGGAAAACTGCATTGAGGCAGAAGTTTCCAAAATGTAAATGATAAACATTAGTCTGCTTATTAAAGGCTAATCAAGGCACTGTGTTACCATTAATGAGAAGGTTGAAATCCCAACGATCTAAAATTCTCCCATGTCAAATGGACCTAAAAGAACCAAAGACTGAGTTCTGTTTTTTGTATTCTTGTTCCCTCACACTTACCGTTTCTATTAAGTATTGCACTATCACTGATGATAAAATAGTTTACACCATAACACCAAACATTTGAGGGGGAAAGTCACAAAATAACTAAAGCAGTATACCCTGTTCCAACCACTGTGTATGCATTTATCTGCAGCTAGGCTGGCATTTAAAATTTTATAAACTATCTAATAAGAATGCTAAGAGAAAATAGTTGACAAACCTGAAAGAATAGCTTCTTTCAAATATAGTAACATATGTGAGAACTTCCTGATATCATTCACCAACTCCTTGATGTAATCCGGATCAAAAATGGAATTGGAACTTATAGACTTGAGCCCCATTTCAGGAGTTGTAACATCAGTAGAGAGTTGGCCTGATGACAAAACGCGTTTTTTCTTTGTCTTTTTCTGTTTGTGAGCAATCATCCTTCCATCGAACAGTCAGAAAAACGGAAATCCTTAAGTGGAAGGGAGAAAAAAAACAAGAGAGAAACGCAAATACCACATCAACCGGGGAAACATTATACGAGGTTTCCACAAACAGCCCATACCCCACCTCAGTATTCTATTAAGGACAACAATAAACACTGTACTACGAATTTATTTATTAAGTGCTAGTAATCTTGACAACTCTTATATCCAAATTACTATTCCCTTCATTTCACAAATAAACAACCTGAGCTTTGGAGGTTAAATCATTTGCCAAACTCTCAGCTAAAAAATGATGAACTGGTACTTAAAACCCAGATCTGCCTTGTTGCCAAAATCCATTCTCTTAATAGCTTCTTAACTCCTAGGGTACGGAATTTTTTTAATTGTAAAAGTTGTTCTGAAAAGTCACTTGGCGGAAGAACACACTCTACTTCCATGACATCAGCTTCAAAAATAAAGATGCAATATGAGCTGTAACAAAAGAAAAGACCTGTTTTCAAAATCCCCTCCATCATTTACTATGTCTGTCCTGACAAGCTGTTAATCATCTCTTTATTTTGGTATGCTCACTTATAAAACGGGAATACCTACCTCGTGAGATTATTGAAAGCATTAAAAGAGACAATAGTATGGAAGTGTCGAACACATAAAAGAAGTTCAATTACAGTTAGTTCTCAATAATAATACATACACACACACACATATTCTAGATGATCAAGTTTCAGCAAGAGTATTTCTTTTTCGAAAACAAGTTCTAAGGGTACCCACCAATCTGATACATCCTGATTAGTTGAACAAATAAACGTCTGAATATCGGAGCAATATTTTTGGTAATTTTAAGATGGTATAGTAAAACCACAATCTTTTGAAATGAGAAATATTTATACATGACTTCTGGCTCAGTATTTTCTAAATGTGTGACCTGTACAATTTTGCTTACAGGCTGTGTGAGAATTAAAAGGGGACACAATATTAAAAGACCTCACATGTAAAACACTTAATCCTGACACATAGTTGAAACTTAAGAAAATCTTAAGTTTCTGTTTCATCTTCATATTTTACCTCTCCAGAATTGAGAAGTCCTAATTCTGTTTGCATTTCTTGAATCAGAAAGGAAATTACTGGAAGAATTAAGTTAGCTCAAGCATTATCATTAAAACATTTTTCAAATATATTTTGTCTTCAACATTTTGATACTTTCAAAAAAGGTAGAATTACTAAGAACTTCTGTGAAATTTACAGTAGGAAGTTTTATGTAATATTCACTTTTAGATCATGTGTAAGATATTTTTTCATTTATTCTTTCCTATACCTCACCCAATTCTATAGAATCTGCAGTATCTTTAGCCTATCTACTTCTATCAGTACTATCACAGCAAGTGAATTATCGTCATTTCTTGTCTGAGCTATTGTTACTAGTTTCCTAATGATCTCTCCACATCCATTCTTGTCCCAGTCCAAATGTAGTGAGTACACTATTCAAAACATGAATTCTAGCATGTCATTTCTCTGCTCAAAACTCTTCCAAAGGACAAGTGAGAATCTACTGCGACCTATAAGGCACATGAGATCTGGCTCCTACCTACTTCTGCAATGTCATCTGGAGTCATAAATACTACTTGACACTCTCAACATTCCTGCCACACACATTCCCTTCTCATTTTCCAACAGTATTTGTTTACCATGACCCACAGGAGAAAATAATTTAGCATCCTGAGCCAGTACACAGATTAAATATGTTATGTTTGTGTGTGGTGTGTTTGTTGGAATGTATAAAACATAAAACAGATTCTGGCTTGGGAACCAGGTGATGTGCTCAGATGTTTTCTATCCTATCCCATTCCATTTTTTAAAATTCTGGCTGCAGCCCATCAAATTGAGTTTCATATTCATAATGGGTCCATGGCCCTACAACTTGAAAATAACTATTTGACTCAGGGTCCTGTCTATACACAGTTCCATTTGCCTGGACTACTCCTTCCCCTTTCTTTGCTTATTCTCACCTCAGCTCAAAGATCACTTCCTCAAAGAAGTCTTCCTGGACCACCTCTGCCTCTTTAACTACCATCACCAAACCAGAACAGAATCTTCAGTTAGATGCATCATAGCATCTTATACTTTTCATCACTTACCAAAGTTCAATCGATGATTCATGTTTTCCTATCTAGATTACCATCTCAAGGAAATCAAGACCATGTCAGTCTGCTAACCATGTGTTTTCTGCTCAAGCACAGTGCTTGGTACAGGAGGAAGAACTACTTGAAACTATTTGCAGAATGAACACCAGGTTTATAAATGTGTAAAGTGGTGATTAATTTTTACAGAAACAAAAAATGTTAACTTTGGATTGCTGCTGTGTTTTAAATGGAAAATATATACAGTTATTCAAAAAATCTGTCTATAGGGATCCCTGGGTGGCGCAGCGGTTTGGCGCCTGCCTTTGGCCCAGGGCGCGATCCTGGAGACCCGGGATCGAATCCCACGTCGGGCTTCCGGTGCATGGAGCCTGCTTCTCCCTCTGCCTGTGTCTCTGCCTCTCTCTCTCTCTGTGACTATCATAACTAAATAAAAAAATTTAAAAAAAAATTTAAAAAATCTGTCTATAAAACAGTGTCTTTCAAAAAAGAAAAACCACGCATATACACCTGATAAAGGCAGGATTACATAAAACTGGAATCAAAGTTGGATTTCTATTCTTGTTTCTCTATTTCTGACTATAAGATTTCTCTACCTCTTTAATAGCTTGCAATGCTTCTTTATTCAATACTCTTAATATTTCTGAGAACATAATTTCTATATTTAAGGTAGTGTCAAATCGGTCTAACATTAATCCTTAAATGTGTAGATAATTTCAAAATGAGCCCAGGACAATTTTTTTTTAGTATATAAATAAGTTTCCCCATCAACAATAAAAACGAAATACTCAAGTACCATGTCTGGGCAGCTCTTTAACAAATCACTAATTAAGAAAACTATTCCTAACTTAACATTTTTGTGGCTTACTTAAGCCACTCTGATTAATTTTGACAGCTTTTAGTTTCGTAAATTAGATAATCAGTCACTGTCACTGGTAAAAAAGATGGTTATTAAAGATACATATTGTAAGTTTCAAATAAAATAAGTCACCTAAGCAATTCACCTATTTCACCATCTTCCTTTATGTCAAATTAGTAACCCAAAGTTGTAAACAGTGTTTCAAAGATGCTTAAACATTTTTTACTCAAGACTAAGAAAATCTATAAGCAAACAAAACGGGGGAGGGGAGGGAGGAGCTAAAAAGGGTTATACTCTGCCTCTTGTCAGCGTTATGGTGAGTAACGTACTAATTTTGTTATATGTACTTTACTATTTTTCATATTGGAAACTAAAAAAAGGAAATCTGACAGTTGAAAAAAATTTTAGGGATCCCTGGGTGGCGCAGTGGTTTGGCACCTGCCTTTGGCCCAGGGCACGATCCTGGAGACCCAGGATCGAATCCCACGTCAGGCTCCCGTGCATGGAGCCTGCTTCTCCCTCTGCCTGTGTCTCTGCCTCTCTCTCTCTCTCTGTGACTATCATAAATAAATAAAAATTTAAAAAAAACAAAAAAAGAAAGAAATTTTAAATAGCAAAGTGAATCCAAGTTTTCATAAAACTAAACATGATAGTGAAAAAATTTAGAGGATGTACACTTTCCAAGATCATCCACACTACCTTCCCATGTCCTAAAATGAATATCCTCAATAAAATGTAGTTACTAAACATACTGCAACCGGCAATTTAATTAAATGAGGTAATAATATGGAAAGCACTTAACACTGTACCTGGTTCATCATGAAGACTCAATAACTGTCATTATTACTGGCAGTGCTTTATTGTAGGAGATAATTTTTTAATATACTTAAGTAATGAACAAGATGTGGCTTCACCATAATATACCTGTAGATTCTGAGAAGAAACATAGCACTGGAAACAATTTCAGAAGCTTTAACTGACTCTGTGGAAACCTACTAAATGGCTTCCAAGTGAAGTTTGAACCGTGCAAACACACTATTGAGCAAAATATTTGTGAAACACTCCTAAATCTCATGCATCTCTTCCAACTCAAAACCATCAACATTAAAAACATGTTTAATTCACTTAGCAAAAAACTTTGTAGCGGACGGATTACTGTGCAACACTACTTTCTCTGTACCTTGTAAATTCTAAATAATACGCACATTTGAAATGTGAACACTAACCTAGTACACTGTAACGTGACTTTTCCAAGACCTGAGTAGCCTGTGTTAATCAAATGCCCCATGCCCCATTCATCCTCCCCAAAACAAGTCACTATGTAAGTATTTTCATTTTAGGCAGCAGGTTAATTGAGTGTGAAAGTGCCCCCAAATATTTACTTAATAGTTCCCCTCTTACTATTCCTACCTCAGGAAAAATTGTCAGATATTTCAGAAATCTGCTATTTCAGCACAATTTCTGATTCGGTCAGAATCTATTTAAAGATGCTTTTAAAAAATCAGGGGAAAAAAATCATCCTGAAAGTTTTCGATCACGTTTTTGTAAAGCTCTCCCTACAAAAAAACAAAACAAAACAAAAAAACCAAAACAAAAAGCAGAGGGGCATGTCAAAAGGTTTTACCAGTAACATGCAAATAACTTTAATTTCTAAAGACAGGCATGCAGTGCACATACACTTCATTCCTGTGCAGTAAGAACCTAGCACGTCTAAAAAAGAGGAAGCTGCCCAACCTCCCACGCCTCCAGAATGTCTAGCATTCCTGGCAGGCAGGGCTCGCTCTTGGACCAGCCGAAAGTACCCAGCGCCCAGGGCCGAAGAGCACGCTCCCCGGCCCCGGCCCCATCCCCGTCCCCGGCCCCGGCCCCGTCCCCGTCCCCGTCCCCGTCCTTGGGTCCCGAGGGGCGAACGCGGCGACCGAGAAGAGCAGCCGCGTGGACAGCGACCGCCGCAGGCACCGCCACCGACGCGGCTGGAGAAAGCACCGGCTCCGCTCCCGCCTTCAGGGCGACAGCCCTGCCCTTCCGAAGGCGGCGAGGGGGGCCGAGTCCTTCGTGAGAATGAGCAGAAGAAGATTAACGTGGAGGAGACCCGAGGCTCGGCGGTCCCCGGGGCTCCCGAGCTCGCCCGTCGGGAGGAAATGAAACGAGTCCAGCCCCGAACGCCCGCACGACGGAGCCGGGTTAGCCTCCGAGGCCGAGGCCCGCACCTGCACTCCGGAGCCCAGGCCAGCACCCGGAGGCGACGCCAACGGTCCCGGGATGCAGTCCCGCCCCGCCGGAGCCAGCCCGCCGTCAGCTCAGGTGGCAGCGGGGGTCGGGGCCACGAGCAGGCGCGGGCACCCAGCCGCCGGCGTCCCCCCGCGCGGGCACCGCTGCCTGCTCCGCAGGTCACCCCTTTGCCCCGCGTAAAAGGAAGTCAAAGGATCATGGACCTGCCGCGAGGGCGAAAGAAGTTACAATGCGGGCAGGCTTAGGACCGGACGCGGAGGGAGGGTCGCTACGCCTTGGCCTTCAATGTAACCCGCGTCTACTGCGGGCCACCCCCGCCGCGCCGCTCCCGGGACCCGCAGCCCCGAGGACACCGCCCGACCCCGCCGGCCGCCCCCGACCCCCGCTCCGGGCCGCCGCGTGGGCCACCCACACCCCGCACCGCGACCGTCCGGCCGCGCCCCGAGCCCCGCGCCCCGCGCCCCGCACTCACCGCGGCGCTCCATCCCGCCGCCCGGACGCCGCCGCCCGCCCAGCAGTCACGGCCGCCGCCGCCCCCGCCGAGGGCTGCAGCGCGCCGCCCCCATCCCCCACGGCCCGCGGACGCCCGGCCGAGCCGCCGCCGCCGCCGCCGCCCCAGCAGCTCCGGCCGCCGCCGCGCCGCCCGCTCGCCCCGCCCCCGGCCGCGCCCCGCCCCCCGCGGCCCAGCCCATTGGCCCGCGCGCCCTGGGGGCGGGGCTCCGGCGCCCCGCCTCGGCTGGGGGCGGGGCCGCCCACGCACGCGGAGCGCGGGGTGTCGGGCACCCAGCGGGCGGGCTGTCCCCGGCACTGCAGGACGCGCTGGCCACCCCGTGCGGCTTGCGGCGCGACAGGCGGAGCGCACCTTAGGCACAAGTCACCTGATGACTAGATCTGGCCAGCAGGAGTTTCTCGGATGAGCAACGTACATTTAAGTTACCTCTTGACCACCTGTCCCTCCCTCTCCAACCCCTTTAAGACAAAAACAAGACCTCACACAGGTAAAGTGTAACACAGGCCTGGCTCAACTCCCCGCTGCAGAGGGTAATAGTTTCCACTTAGGCCTAAATTACTTCCTTAAACTGCACTCTCAGGACTCACTGAGAATGAGAAAAATGTCGGAGAAAGATGGAATAATTGAGGAAGGCATCAGGGGCCCAAAGCACGAAAGCTTCTATATCACAACACACACTGGAACAGGCAGTGTCCTTTGTCTCGGTGTTGGAACATTCAGGAAAAGATTGATGGAGAAACAGAGGGCACATGGGGCCGGTGACTGTGGGTAGTGGTGGAGACGGAAAAATTATCACCACGGGAGAAAGCAGAAAAAGACACGGGAGAGTGTGAGGAGGAAAAGTAGAAAGAAAATGAGGGTGCAGACATAGGAGGAGGTAAAACCTCAAACAATGCAGAAAAAGGTGATGACAGAGGAATCGGGAATGAGAAATAAAAGAGAGGAGGGAGAGACTACCTACTTCGATGTAAAAAAAAAAAAGTAAGCATAATAGAACCAACTGGTTGTGAGAAAAGGAGAAAATACCCATTGACAAAGAGAAGGGGAACATCTCTGAACCTTTACAGGAAAGACAATCTTAGCTAAATAAAGCAAATGTGGTCCCTCAGATGCTGCTTGGAAAAGATAAATATGGAAACGCTCAGCTCCTTGGTTACTTTAGCTGCACACTGGATTTTTCAAATTCAATCCATACAAATTTACCCCTTCAAACCCCAAATACAACCGTACTAAGGACATGTCGCAGATACTCAGGAAACGTCAAAACCAAACTGTCCTTCTAAGCATACTTAAAAAGAAAAATGCAGCATGGATTCTCATCGCGGAAACTGATGGTGCCTTGCATGGAAACAAACTAGTAAGAGGAGCGGTCAGGAGTCCTCCGGGCCAAAAGGGGACCGGGGCAGTGCAACCCTGACTAAATCATAAGACTGTGGGGAAGCAATCCGAGGTACTCGTGCAACCTCAAACATCCCCTTATGTCTATCTGAAATGATATGACCCGCTTCGTGCTATCTTATCCACCATGACCCTTAATACGGAGGACTGTGTGCCTCCTCATGATGCCACCAACAATGTCTTGAATAAGGTCCAGTTAAGGAGCAAGGATATGTGGAGAGGAGGCAATGGTGTGACAGAAACGGTAAGGAGCACACAGGAGGGAGGAAACGAAAAAGTGGAGAGGGAGAGAGAAAAAAGTGTGAGCAGGTGAGAAACAATTGTGGAGAAGAGAGAAAGGCAGAGAAGGAAAGACAAAGATGCAGAGACAAGGGCAGGCAAAGAAAGAAAGATGGAGACAGAATAATTTTTTTTTAATTTATTTATGATAGTCACACACACAGAGAGAGAGAGGCAGAGACACAGGCAGAGGGAGAAGCAGGCTCCATGCACCGGGAGCCCGACGTGGGATTCGATCCCGGGTCTCCAGGATTGCGCCCTGGGCCAAAGGCAGGCGCCAAACCGCTGCCCCACCCAGGGATCCAGATGGAGACAGAATAAAGAGAAGAGAGAGAAGAGGCAGATAGAGAGAAAGAGACCTAGAGACTACCCACTGACAGAGAAAGAGAAGAGGGACACGACTCACAGTTCTAAGGAAGTGAAGCTAATCAGGCCCCTATGTTGTTATGTGAAAAAGATAAATACAAGAACTCCAGGCTCCCTGATTACTGGGCTCTACCATTATTTTTGTAGGCCTGATTTTTAAAAAACATATCCATATCCATTCAACCTTAAATATAACCATACCAATTTCAAAAGCACTAGAAATGCTGAAGACACCTAACATCTTCAAACTCCACTGGAGGAGAATGATACACCATGGACACTCACCATGGAAGCGCTCATGACTAAACTGAAGGAGACCAATAGGGAAAGAGGACAGGGTTCTGAAGGCCAATGATAGTAGGGGCAGGGCAACCCCTAGGGAGCTCACGGGAGGAAAGTCTGCCCCTCAGCTCTGCTCTGGCTTAACCTCAAGACCCTTCCCACCAGATCTACCTCTACATCATCTCAAAATGTAATGACTGTGCATAGAATCTGACAGAGAGTGGTTCTTCAATGAATATTAGACAGTTAATAGTAAGGTTAGGAGGGAAATTTTGAGAAGTCTCCCAATCCCATCCTTTACATCTTTAAAAAAATAGATCAATTATCTGTCATCTTCTCCACCCTCGTTCCTTAGTAAGGAGGATAATAACATTTGGAAACATTTGCCAAAATGGCAGTTCACCTTAAAATTAAAAGGCTTATTTTATTAATTCTCCCAACTTGCATTTTAAGTAATCTTATATCACACAAATAATATCTTTCTATAAGTTCACAATTCTTGGCTTATAATTAAATTTTAAAGTGCTACAAAAAAAGAGTAAACCCATCTGTATATCTATTGTAGAAGTCCAACATCTTAAAATGTTCGATGAATTGCAGGAAAAAAATAACATTTATGAAAGCAACATATAATTTAAAATAAGCTACTTTTGTTTTTACCAATTTACATTATTATTATGTCTATCATTTTTTCTTTCTGAAACAGAAACTCACATTCTCTATAATGTTGCTCTTGGGTCAGCTAGTCTATAAAGCCTCTACTTGCCTATTGTTAAGATCTTTTACATGTGTTCTCTGCAGTGTTAACTAGTCAGTATTATCATTTTTGCTAGGTAGGTGTTTTCATATTCCTGACATTGTTTCTGTAGTTTAGGTAGCCTACTTTTCATAACAGAACATGAGTCTAAAAACATTTTACAATGTCTGGAGACATTTTTGGTTATCACAACTGGGGAGGGGGTTGTACTGACATCTAGTGGGTAGAGGACAGGGATGCCTCTAAAACATCTTACTTGCACAGGAGAGCACCCCCCCCCCAACCCTTATACCTCCACTCCTAACAGAATTATCAGGATCAAATAGTGTCAAGTTTGAGAAATAATGTCAAGGTTGACAAACTCTGCTCTAGGCCTAAATAGTAATTTATAAGCAATAGAGAAAACAGAGGAACATGCTAGATTATATCACAGGACGCACCCAGCAAAATCTAGACTGTGGGTTTTTTAATAGAGCAAATAACACAATTTCTTAAATAAATTGCAAGGAAAAAGATGGAAAGAAATCTCTAGATCAAAGAAGGATTAAATTTTTAGATACATCAAATACAGGAGGAATAAATGAGACCAGACTTGCCCTCCTACTATATTCTTTTCAGAACTGGACTACGGACAGCATAGAACTATGATCCGTAAGATATGGGATTGCAAACAAATGAGGTAGGCCCTCAACAGCCCCAACTCTCTGCCTGGAGGCATATTCTAGACCATGGCACAGGAAATAGATAAGCAGAGCAGACTGGGGCAGCTAGAATCTGTAGCACAGGGTACCAAAGAAGAAGGAGGTAGGCAAACGATGAGCTCCAGTAATTTGCACAGACAATTTCTGTTTTTTTCCTTTCTTTTTGTTAAGATTTTATTTACTCAAAAAAGACTGTGTCGAGAGAGGGGGGGGGGGCAGAGACACAGGCAGAGGGAGAAACAGGCTACATGCAGGGAGCCTGACATGGGACTTGATCCTGGGTCTCCAGGATCAGGCCCTCAGCTGAAGGTGGCACTAAACGGCTGAGCCACCCGGGCTGCCCTGCACAATTTCTTTATTCTCTTGCTAAATGCTGCACATGTGTGAGTGAAACCCCACAAGTACGGATAAAGAATTTCTAGGGAGCTGTAACTAAACAGTTCTCAGGGTTCCCACAGGGCTTGAAGACTTCTGAGTTTTCATCAGCCAGAGTTGAAAGACCTGATGAACACTGAAGAAGAGATACCCAAACGGCAAGTGTTAATAGTATAGATTCACCCCCCAAACTTTAAAACAAGCCTCATTCTGTAAATTTAAAAAATTCATATTTATGTTTTTTAAAGATTTTATTTCTTTGTCACAGAAAGAGTGAGAGAAGACCACAAGAAGAGGGAGTAGGAGAAGGAGAAGCAGGTTTTCCACTGAGCAGGGAGCTGATGTGGCTCAATCCCAGGACCTGGGGCTCATGACCTGAGGCAAAGGCTGATGCTTAACCAACTGAACTACCCAGGCGCCCTAAAAAATTCATTTTTTTAAATTCATTTTTAAAACAAAAGTAACAACAATGTGTCATGGCATTAACAACATATACAGAAGTAAAATGTATGATAATAGCACAAATAAGGAGGAAAATAAAACTATACAATAAGATCCTTAGATTATCTGTAAAGTAACATAATATTATTTGAAGGTGTATAATAATAAGAAGAAGAAAATAATAAAAGAAAGCTAAAATGTATATTAAAATCTTCATAGATACATTTAGGAAGCCAATAGAAGACAAAAATGGAATTTTAAGGAGTTAATTCAAAGAAAGCAGGACAAGAATAAAAAGAAGAAAAAACCAAACAGATGAGAAAAATTAGAAACAAACAACAAGATGATAGACCTAAACCCAATCAGAGCAATTATTACACTAAATATAAATACTCTAACACCCCTATAAAAAGGCAGAGATTATCAAATTGAATATGAAAATAAAACTCAACTACATACTGCCTATCAGAAATAGATTTGAAATCTAAAGACTGA